GGTGGTGTTAGGAAGAAAACTAAAGTGATGATCTCGAGGTTCGAAATATCTTTTTTATCTGTTAAACTGTATTTATGTTATTTTGATTGTTAGATGCCACAAGTTATATGAGTGGTCAATTGGAACAGAAAGACTCGCTCTCTCTCTACCTATTACGCTGGCCTTAAAAGGTTTTTGGAAGAATTTGATCATATTAACAGTCTCAGTATCACCCAGTAGGTTCAGCAGATGCTATAAATTTAAAATAATGTCGAGGCATTGCGTTCTTGAAGCCCAAAATTACTCGAACAATATTTTTGAAGCTTACTTGAACGAAATTGATGAAGCCTAAAGTGCTAGTGCTGGCTAAGGATCATTTCCCACCTAGTCAAGTCAAGTGAATTATTACATACAGCGAGAGGATATTAGGGAAAATCCAATGCTGATTTTAGTTGATAGTTCTGTTATGATTTCTTTTGAGAAGGATAATCAAGGTAGTGATAATAGGAACAAAGTAAGTGGTCTATGGGGAAATGAAGAGTAATTGTGGTCTGCAAACGTTGGAAAATCATGACACACACAAGAAACTTGTCACGCTCTACAATTTGCAGCCTAGACCTAATTTTGCTCCAGAGTCCTCTCAACCTCATTAGTCATTAGTCAGCAAGTACTTGCAACAAGGAGAAGGTGCACATACATTATCGGTAGTTACGAATAATGCCTCGTATTTGTCCCTCATAGACAACTCAACTACTCAAGTTCTCCCATCTTACAGATTCGTGAAAAAATGCGAAAATAGTGAGGAATTATATTTGATAACAATCAATGAGCATAACTTATAGTCCTGTTGAGCATGATGGTACGAAACATTTGGCGTTAGATGACACTCTATCAAAGAGAATCAATTCTGAACATATTTGTCAGAAAAAATGATCAACTAGCTGATATGCTCGATGATGGGATTGTTTGTTCCCCTTTGGTTGCGTCTTATGGAAGTTAGCCATGCTTGGCATTTTTCGAGATAGGTGTCACCCAAATATAAAGCTGTATAAATTGCGCGATTTTCAACTTCTTAACTTACAAGAATTTAAAAATTCGTCGAAAGAGTTCGTTAGAGTCAGTTCTGTCATGATCCTCTACCAAGCACCACAAAAGAATGCTTGTAGTACTACTGTATTCCCTCTCTCTCTCTCTCGTTTTTTATTGCTTCTACGTATAACAATTAGTATTTCACAATGTGAAAACTTGAACAAATATGAGCAGACTTTTTAGTACAATTTCTGAGGCATATTGTTGTGTTTTGTGCAACAGTAGTGATGAACAATATGGAATCAACAAAGAGAAAACAAGGAAAGAAGAACACAAATTTATGTGGTTTGACAGTAGGTCTACGTTCACGGGAAACCCCAAAAAATACCCCTCTATTGTACAGTGGGGAGTACCATCCCTGCACTTCCAACCTATTAAGCGTTCCTGACAACAAACAGTAAATTACAAGCCCGAAAGATCTATGCCTTCGTTTCGCTCCCCTCATTCCACTCCAGCATCGGCCTATTTTTCCACTCTGTGTGAACCACATATTACAACACATTGATTTGGCAAGGGGGGATTCATTAGTTTTGCATCTGTAATGGAGATTTTTTAACTTTTCCTTTTTGTGCTTTTCTTTTTGCTGGGGGAGGGGAGGGGAGGGGATTGGGGTTGCTTTCAATTACAACACGGGGGTTGGTGGCAAGGAGTGAATAATTGCAGAAAGGTACAAAAAATGAACTTGATCATACCTGCAGCTGCCATAATGGGTAACATGATGTTGTGGTGGAAGATTTGTGTTAGAAGCCCATCAGGCAACAGTTTGTAACACCCACACTCTCTCCTTTGTTCTTTTGCCCCTATTACTGGTTAGCCGTTTTAAGATCTTTTTCTTTTATCATTTCTTGATAACTCCTGAGATCAGAAATAACCCTCATGGTTTTAAACACTGAGGACTTTTGCCCATTAAAGTAGATGGTACAAGTCTTGTAAATATTAGCAAACCTTACACCCGAGTTTTAAGGTGAACATGCCGTTGGGATGTGCGAAACAAAAATTGAGGAAAAGTTTGGGACGGAGGAAGTAGGTTGGCTGTATTCTAATAAACTAGTTAAACATTTAGAACATTTACACTCAGTTTCTGGATTTGGTGATATTACTGTTAGTCCAGTCCTGATATATGTCTCTTGTATCTTATCTTATATTGAAGTTCCTGTTTATCTCTTCTAATGCATTTTGGTACCTCACATTTTCATTGATGTCCTATATTTAACTTCTTATTCACCAATAGGCTTGGGAAATCATCCTTGAAAGATCGTGATCAGCTAGAAGAGAAGCGGAGCCAGAAACCCCCGCATCATTCTCGTACGAGTAGTGCACCTTCTAAGGATCTTGGATCATTTGCTGTCGAGTATAGAAAATTGTCAATCGATTGCCTAAAGGTTCTACGTATAGAGATGCAACTGGAGACTATTTTCCATATGCAGGTACTGACATGCATATTTGTTATCTACATTTAGGTCAGTCAGGAATCCCATTCATAAAAGTTATAATATTAGCAACCAACCTTTGAACTCGTATAGGAAATGACAAATAGGGAATATTTGGACGACCAAGATGCGGAGGAGCCTGATGATTTTGTTATTTCATTAACTTCCCAGGTGAGTTGCCAATTACTGGTACCTGACAAGTTATTGTCTCTGGATACATTTTTTACATTTTAAGAATATGGCATTCTTCGAATTCCTTGAAGTCGTTGATGTACTTTCTATTTCAGAAGGAAAAATGGAAATATCTCGGATTCAGTTAATGTAGTGTGTTATTTTTTCCTCTCAGGTTGATTTCATAAAACATAATTACTTAACATCCCTCAAATATTTTATTTGATTCCAAAATCCCTTATTCTAACTTCTTTTCCTGGAATACGCAAGCGCCATAAATACCAATTTGAGTTAAGTTAGAAAAGATGTTTGTCTGAGGAGGTTTTTGCTAACTTTGTGCAGTTGGCAGCCAAATTCAGTGCACATAGTGTGCAGAAATGCTCTATCGTCGGTTTGCGGTTGCTTTCAATCTGTCAGCAGATTATGGCTGTCAAAAATATTGTGGATAGAAGAGTTCTTTGGAACTCCTTTCTAATTTTGTACCAATGAAGCCGGAAGAAAAAAAATTGGAATGGATATTTGTTTTTTAAAAAACTCAATAAATGGAATCCCGTGTCACTCGCCTCATTAATGTATTCAGAAATTGTTTCTAGCTTTCAAACAAATTCATGAGCATATGGGTCCAATTAGATTTGTTTGATACCTGACGAGTTGAGCCATTATGTAATGCAAGTCTTCCTGTTTATTTCCTTAATTGTGAGTAGTCTTCTGTCGGCTTTTCTGGGAGAGGCAAAATGTTATCTGTGAATTTTTTTATAAGAATTCCTTGCTAAACTTTCCTCCATCAGTACCAATAAAAAAAAAATCCTACAAGTTTCCCTGTGTCTCGCATCTTGTTATTTTTTAGTTGTAATGTATTTTAACCTTTCAAACAGATTGTTCTGAGAGATGCCTGTTGCCCATCTATAAAATAATTTTACGCATACACCCAAAACTTTTCCTATTTTTTAACCACATGTTCTCCAAAAAATCACTATTCCAAAAACACATTGCCTCCAAAAAATGGGGCTCAAACAGGTGCCCATTTTGAATTATAATTTTTTAGCATGTTTAAACCTTTCAAAGAAATAGTTCTGAAAGATGCTTGTTGCCCATCTATAAACTTGAGGATCGTAATGACTGACCTGAGTAACTTAACTATAACTCGCATTACTTTTTGTTGGCTACGTCCCTTTCATTTTGTATGGTTTCATTTTTGAATGCTCTTAATCAATTTTTAAGGGAAGCAAGATGCAACTAGTTTTGAATTATACTTCCATTTCTGTCTGAAAAATCTATCTTGACCATTTTGAAGCAAGGTTTTCAACTTTTCTGTTCACGTAATGTAGATAACCCGTCGAGATGAGGAAATGGCGCCCTTTGTTGCAGGAGAGAAACGAAATTACATATTTGGGGGAATATGCAGTATTGCAGCAAATGCATTTATGAAGGTTTGTCTGGCACGATCTACTTTTCTTAAATCAAAATGTTTCAGTCCTCCAAAGTACCTTCTTTGTAATCTTCACTGACAAAAGACTTAATTATTTCTTATTAGGCTTTGGTTGATATAAAGTATATCAACCTTTTTGGGGTTCAGCAGATATGCCGTAATTCAATTGCGCTGGAACAGGTCAGTTTCAATCTCCCCTACTCTCTCCCTGCTGTAGTAGATCTGCATTAAGTAAAGTAGAAACTATTATAAACCTTATGCTCTGATTTGGTACTCCTAAGTCCAGCCTCAGCATCCATTCTATCAATAGAAGAAAAAGGATCATGAATCTGATTATCAGAAATGATAGAAGGAATCCATGTGACAGTCCAACTCAATTCAATTTATTCAACGAAGCACATATTAAACGTAGTGCCATGTACGGATTGGAGCTTCACTTTTTGTCATTGAAATGAAATAATGGGCTGGAACTTTTTAGTGACTTGTTCGGCAGCTCATACTATTAATGACAGCCTGGCAGGAACTTTTTTCATAAACTCACAGATAGCCTCCAACACAACCCACACACACACACACCCAAAAAAAAGAGATAAAATATGGACGAAAGAAATCAGATTTGTCTAACAACCAGCTACAGGATCAAGCTTTGAGGAAAGAGAGTAAAATGAAAATAATTGGAACTCCCATCTTAGTCAGATACTGCACATCTTTTTGGCCACGGTTGCAATACCTATTTTTTCAGTTTTTGGAGAAATGAAATATAAATTATGTCATATCCTTTTCATTTTTGTGTTCATTATGGTTAATAATTCTTCTGGTCTTTTCTAGGCTTTGGCTGCTATCTCTTCAATTGATAATGAAGCTATACAGTTGAGATTAGATCACATCCGAACTTACTATGAATTGCTAAACATGCCCTTTGAGGTAAATCTGAGAATACCATTTCTATCGGTTTCAATTTAATTTCTCCACTCGCTCACTCTCTCCCCCTCAATTCCTTGCTCGTTTTGTGAAAGATGGAACATTCAGATTCTCATCAACAATAACAATTGGATTTTCTTTTACCAGGCATTGCTTGCATTCATTGCAGAGCACGAGAACCTATTCACGTCTGCAGAGTGAGAGTTATTCAAACAGCATGCAACTGAATTTGGGAAAGTTAATTTTAACCATTGTCACTAAACTATCATTTTTATTAACAGGTATACAAATCTTCTTAAGGTCCAGGTTCCCGGGAGAGAAATTCCATCTGATGCTGAGGACCGAGTGGCTGAGGTTTTACCCCGCTAAGATTGCAACAGCCATATTGATGTTTTCTACAGTAGAGTTCGGGTTAAAATGTGATTTCAGTTTAAATTTTAGTAGCAGTATTATGGAGGTTCTGAATGAAAATGGAAGCCCGAAGCTGGTCAAATTCTACTGAGATTGCCAGGTCTGGGTATATTTTTGTGAGTATTGTTCCTGGAGATGACAATTATTGCTTGCATTGCAGTTGTTTACTTTGTTTTTATCGTAGGATCAATTTTGTGGCCGAGGCTTTTGTTAGCGATAAATGAGGGTGTTAGTACAGTGTAGATCTCGAATGATTGATTACTTGTACATTAGTATTGTTAATATTGTTTATAATAATAAATACGTTGTTATTAGTTTTGGGAATAGATATTAAAAAAATGGTAGGATGAATCCGACCACAAATTAGAGAGTACCGAGTCTTGGAGTTCATCTTAAAAGACTAACCTTTTTTCTATTCTAGTCGAGCAATTCGACTGAAATCAAATATTCAGACAATTTTCAAATTGAGTCTACTCGAGTTGACTTCTCAACTCGGGTTAGATGACTCGAATGCTGCGTAACTCCAGCTTGAGCGATTACAATGTGTTTTGTGAAAACATTTAGAAAAATTACAAATTTATCATAATCGCATGCTCTATGATATGTTGTTCCATTAGTAACTGATGGAAATTTTAAGGTATTTATTTATTTAACAATTAAACTTAGTAATGTATCTTTTTTCTGTGATAAATGATATATTAAATTTCCACTTGTAGTAAGATTGAATGTACATACGCTACTACTAGAATTTTAGTTAATTAATAAGAATGTTGGCCCAGTGATGAAACACTCGAACAATTCACCAGACTCGATTTTAATTACTCGAGAGTCGGAGTTTGGTTCTTAATGTCATGCTCGAAACTCTTTATGGGTAAATGGTGATGATGAGAAGCATATTGAGATTGAAAGAGATGTAGTTTTTGTACTCATCGGTCTCTTGTTCCTTTCATGACGATATAAATTATCACAATATTTTCGATTGACTAGAATTGAAGTCATACGCCTCCTCATGGTGTTAACTCGGATTTTAATAGATTTAAAAAAGAAAAATGCTATTCATCCCTAGTGGGGATGTATTCCCAGTCTATATGGATGTAAATGATTGGTTAAATGATAGGTGAAATTAAATGACTTATGTAATTTCACCTTTCATTTAATGCCACATAGATTGGGAATGCATCCCCACTGGGGATGAATAGCATATCTCTTTTAAAAATTCATGAAAAATTTATTTCTCGTTTTCAAAACAAAAATTCCACCATTGTGGTTCTAAGAGTAAAAAAGAGAAGGGGAACGCCAAACAGTAGTCAAATGAATATTTTTTGAGCTCGATTCTTATGACATATTTAGCTGTGTGATACGGCTATATAGCTAGTATGAAAATATCACCTTTTTTTTTTTGGAATGTGTGGGCCCCATTAGCCAATAAAATTTGTTATACAATTCAAGAATTATGCTACTTCTATGACACAATGTGGCACGTCTCTGCCAACAAGTCAAAGAGTTTAGCGAAAATGGCCTCGTGCAAACGAAATTGTGACGAGGATAATTCTGTCTTTTCAAAATATAAAGAAAGGGCAAAAATGAAATTACAAATAGAGGGAAAAGGGCCCGAATAACTCCAAAAGAATATAACACACAAACTAATTCATCTTAGGGTTGGACAAAACTCTAGAACCAAATTAGATCGAACCAGACCTGAATCGAATCAAATCGAGCGGTTCTTCTTAAATTAAATAATAGAACCAAATAAGAATCAAACCGGACCATGTCCAGCCTTAATTCATCCTGCACGCATAGCCACCAAAACAATGGACTTAAACGTATTGTTGTTAGGAATAAACAGCCTAAAATGCGGAATCAATACATAGCATAAATATAGTTCCAGCAGTTCATTTAAACCACAATGACAGAGTTTAATAGCATGCTCCAGAAATCAGACTTGACAATATATATATCAATGTTATAACCTATGGCATTTGCATATAAACAGAAAAATCAGTAGGTTAAACATGAACTATAGAACTGAAAACAGAACATTAAAACTGGACAGAATTAAAGGCCAGAAAGGACAGAGCTTCACTTCCCTTTTACCGTTTGTCCTCCTCTTCTCACGGCCGAATGTCACAGTTCTTCCTGCCCCTTTTGTTGGCTGAAATGTTAGGCTCAGGAACAGCTCCAACCACGCCACGCAAATCGCCCTCCAGAGAGAAGTGTTCTTAGAGAAAACCAGGGTAAGATTTCAGGTCATCGATCGAGAACGATCTACCATTGATTAACAGACTCTAGCCTCAGATTTTAGGGAAGAAAACCGGCACCAATCAGCTACTCTTTCAAGCCTTAGCATACCCAAGGTTAACCCCATGAATCTCTAGAATCAAACCATAGAAATCCCCCAAAAGGAAGAGAGCCCTACTGTACAGAGAAGCCCAGAGAACGCGAGAGAGATAGAGAGTAATCGAGAGATGAGAGGAAGTGTCTCAAGTAAGCCAAGCCCTAAGAAAATATCTAGGTAAGTTTTGATCCCAACCGTAGATCAAGATCAAGATCAAGGGACACAATTAATCCTCACAAGTAGCACAAAAAACCGGGTCAGCCCAATGGGCCATGAGAACCACAAAGCCCACAATTGTCTTCTTAGCCAAATTTCGAATGAACCATTAGATATTTCTACAGGTTCTTTCAGGCCGCCACTGGATACAAAATCCTTAGCATTGTCCTCTGCAAGAACCATTTAAGTTACATAACACTATGTTTTAACTTCTAAATGCACATAATGTTTGTGCATAATATTCTGAGAGCAAATGCTGATTCATCGTATTTAAAATCTTCACTGGAACGAAACTTGGTTTACCATTTTGTGCTAGATGGCAAATAGCAAGTTCAATGTGGCGTCGTGTTGAAGTAGAACTAGTATTGCCGTTGGCAACCAACCAATGAAGACAGAAACAAACACAGAGAATCGTATACTATCAAGAAACAGAGATAAAGCCAATGAAGAAAAACTCACCATATGTACTCAGCAATAATCTTTTCTGTAGAATCAGAGAGATTAATATTAATGAGATCTAAAAGCAGTGACATTATTATTGATACATAATAGGCGACGCCATTCTCATCGACGTTACGTTTCTTTGTGAGATCCATGAATGAAATTAGGGATTGGAATTAAAACCTAGCGAAACTACCCTAAATAGTCACTGAACTTTTCCAAAACTACCATAATTAGTCACTCAACTTTGCAAAAAATTTCTAGGAGGTCACTAAATCATTGATGTATGGCAGTATGGGCTCACAATTTGCTAAGTTCGATGACCTCCTAGGAAGTTTTAGCAAAGTTCAGTGACTATGTAGGGTAGTTTTAAAGTTAAGTGACCTCCTAGAAACTTTTTGCAAAGTTCAGTGACTAATTAGGGAAGTTTTGAAGTTCGGTGACCTCCTGGAAACTTTTGGCAAAGTTCGGTGACCTTTTAGGGTATTAACTCACAATAAACCAATTGAAACAAATCAAATGAAGAATTAAATTTTTTGTTTCCATAATCTCGAACTCTTGTTTCAAACCATGTATAAACTTTAAATGCCAAATTATGAATAGGTCCCCTATCATCTACATGAAGTTCGACTTTACGTCCCCCCTTATTCGAACTTCTTACTTTATTGTTATAAAGTAAAGACTTTACGTCCCTTTCTTAAACTTTGTACTTAGTCTTCTTCGATCCCTTCAAAGGCCCATGCATATTTTTGACGATACTTTTCCTCTTCCTCTTGAGTAAAATCATTCTCGATACCAAAAAGCCTCCGTGTAAACTCGACGCTCTTGTTCTCTATCTTATTTGCAACCTTAGTGGAACATACATCAAGTAAAGACTTGATGTCAAGATAATTTGCGGCCAACATGTATTCAAAAAGGAGTGGGAAATCTTCATCCACAAATTTTTCATCAAATTGGTTCTTATCTTTTTCATCAAGTGATGAATCTCCATGTATGTTGAGATAGGTTATGACTTTAGACAGGATTTGGGATTCAACTTGCACTGGGATTACACTAGAAGCACAATCATCTTCAATGATGTTCTTCAGTGTTACGCATTGCTCTGCTCTACTATCTTCAATCTCAAATTCTTCATTATCAGAACTCCTCAATTTTACCATCTTCTTCTTCTTTTTTTTCTCTGTAATTTGGAGTTGTTTCTCAGAGATAAGAATCTGAATAATTTGGAGAGGTACGGTTGCTCGTGTATATATACATATATAGAGGGAGGTGGGGGTGGTGGGATTTAATGGTTTGAATTTTGGATTGTCATGCGATACATTAAATTGAGATTAAAATGGATATTTACATTGATTAAAATATCCTGGAATAAACGAAATATGGATTCAATCGTTAGCATGTTTAAATATATTTGTAAATAAAAGTTTAATTGCAAATAGATAGATCAATTCGAAGTTGAACCGCAAAAAACCGGCTTGAACCGGTCGGGTTTTATTAAAAATCAGGTGAACCTGTTTTGGTAAAACATGCCAGCCACTTCGAAAATCACAAAATGTGACTCCAAGATTCTAACTTGGACTTCATGGAAGCTAACGAGGCCTATTGCCACCAGGCTGCCTTAAATATTATAGATAAAATGATAGTCAAACTCGTAATTATATATATTTAGGTATATATAATTACCTAAAATATATAAAACAAAAATGGAGTGAAAAAACATGCCAACCACTTTTCCATAGGTATCTTAGTTTTTTATATCGCATGTGAAAAAAAATAAGTCAACTAAAATACAAGTTATTCAGAATATATACGTACATTCTAATGTAGAAGCATGCTTTAAATAGAATAAGTCTAATGTTGCTATTAAAGTATAAAGTGTCATCGTAAGATGTCCTTCAAAGTGAGGCCCAAATGGAGTGGACTTAAGTTAGACCTCCAAACTTGATTTTGGATGATATAGAATGGTTTGTACCTCCCCCATAAGCTATTGCCTTGGGCAGGGGTAGGCCTACTTGAGGATCAGTGGGGGCCGTCGCAACCACTTGATTTTCAAATTTCCTAATTTTTCTTCAGATTTTTTTAGTTTTTTTGTCCAGTATTTTTTAGGTTTTTAGATTTTTTCCAAGGTTTTTTAGTTTCACCCCCATTGAACTTCCTTCCTAGGTCCGTCCCTGACCTTAGGGCATGGAAATCATAGGTTCGAGCTCTAGCTAGAATCCTCGACATTTTATTTGTATGGCACCTAGATCCCGATCAACGACTTCACCATCATCGTTGATGAAGAAGTCGGATTTCTGTTAAGAACACAATCTTAACCTTATGTTAATGAAATAACAAATTAATTAATTGCAAAAAATTTCCGATCTTGTACTAGGGTGATATACAATGTCACCCATTAGCATAGAAGATATGAATATCAGAGGCTTCCCACTCCTTGAAACGCATATAAACATAATTGACATCAATTTAGTAACTTGTTGCCTCTTGTGAAACAGAAGCAGCACCAATCAAACAGGTTCAGATTTCACAATATAACTATGCATTTATAACGAAATTTTTTAGTACAATATTTGAATATAATACACTTGTACAATGGGATGTAAACACACATCCTAAGTTTTGAAAAATCATGATAGAACTCCAACAGAACCACTGATAAAATTGCAATCCTGGAAAAACATCAAATATTATACATTATAATACAAGCACATCCAGCAATCTCTAGCTCACAATTTAATTCTCAAACGTTTCAAAATCAGGAAGAGGCCGGGCGAGGGAGTCTCTTGGCTATTTCCTGTCAAATCAAATCATCCGAAAAGAGAGACATCAGCCTCCATCATGAAACCATATACCAGTCAAGAAACTGACAATTATTCTAGTAAGAAGCTAAATATTCCGTAGTCATCATTCAATTGATGCCCAAAACAAGATGTCGTGGGAAATATAGATTTGTGCGGAGAAAAGCTTGGGGTATAAGCTCATACTGCAAAGAAAACGTAGTTTTAGATCTCCTAAAACATGGGATTTCTGACCTCCCACTTATTGTCAATTACTGGATTTGCTTACACAGTGGGATGAGTCTAGAGCAATCCAGGGATAGCTTCACCTGTTGAGAAATTTGATCTGTGGGCTTGCTTTATTTAATAACAAACTTTTCGCACCAGTGTACAATCCTGATTTATTTGCGAGTTCAATAAAACCTTCTTGTTCAAACTAAAAAGATTAAATAAAACAATTGTAGTCTATTTCCTGGTGGTTTTCTAGATACTAGACATCAGACTACAATTCTGGACCATTCTCTATTTCAGATAACATTTTTGGTTATTACATGAATCACAACAACTATAAGCAACAATGAGAACGATGTTTCTAAGTGCAGTTGTTTACTGAGAATTTTACAGCCGGCTACAAGTAAATGGACGTGATTACTCTCTCAAGTCAATATAATTTTAGGTGAAAAAGGCTCTAAAATGTACCTCAAACAGCTGGTTTATATTATCTGCTGTCTTGGCAGATGTCTCGATAAAGAACATCCCATTCTTTTCAGCACAGTCTATTCCATCCTTTGAAAGACAAAAGGAAATGTGTTACTGTTGAATAAATTGGCTAAGGTTTTGCAATGAGAGAAAGCATTACATAACAAATTGCTCACTTGAACTGGTACTTCTCGTTTTTCATGAAGATCAGCTTTATTACCGACCAAAGCCATGACTATCTCAGGGCTCCCATGTTTACGTAATTCCTGTCATTATGAATAGTGACTTCAGCAATAAAAAGATAAACTAACATAAAAGGCAATATTTTGGTATACATATGTAACATTCATGTTTACGAGATCTGATACTAGGAATGCCCATTGGGAATATAACCAGGTCTCATTGGGAATATAACCAGGTTCTCATAGCCAGCTATTAATGCGTCATTCGCATTCTTCCCTATGACATTGATAACATCAGTTTTGATGCTTAACAATAGTTACAACGATATGTTGCATCTTGCTAACTACAAGTTTCAGCCTTGAATGAAATTGAAGAGGTATTACTGTGGTCCTTCGAATATACCTTGATCCAATACTGTGCTTTGGAAAATGATTCAGGATTAGTTATATCATACACAACAATTGCAACTGCAGCTCCTCGATAATATAGTGGTGCCAGTGCTGCATACCTATGAAAAAATACAGGATTCTTTATCATGGGTAGTCTTCATCAAACAAACAGAGATTTATGGGTGGATTTTGGCAAAGAAATTCCATCCACGTAATTGGGAAAGATTGAAATGAGCCAAATGACTCTTGGAATCTTCACCACTAATTAATTACCTTTCTTGTCCAGCTGTGTCCCATATTTCAAACTTCACTGTAGTTGAATCCTGCAAGGCAATTGTCTGAGACAAGAAAGAAGCCCCAACAGTTACCTGAAAGCATCAAAGAGTGCAATTATCAATAAATTTATCATCAACTTCATGTAGGATACTTTGGAGAAGTGAGATTCTACATTCAATAATAGACTGGTGACAGACACGTAAATTGTTTTACTTTCTGGATACAAGATGTTATTCGAACGCTATATTGAGCATTTGTAGCTTAGCTTAAAAGACTTAATTATAGGCAAGTTTACCTGTAAGTAAAATAAGTATGTGAACTTTTCTAATTATGTAGCTTTTAAACATTGTGCTAAGTAATTTTATGCTTGACAAAAACTAACAAGTAGAGTTGGAAGTGTCAAAAGATCAGAAAGAACATTATGCTTGTTTTAAGAATAAAGTAACAGAATGCTATTTGAGCCCAGATTCTGATGAAAATATTTCTGAATGTATGGAATAAACATTATTTCAGCACAAATAGAACACTATTTCATCCCAAAATTCAGATGAAAATATGTTTGAATGTATTGAATTAATAATGAATTTGGTAATTAATATCATATACTAGTTTAAAACCATATTAATTTTAAAAGGTCCACTACGCGACAATGGCCAAGAGTAACAACAAGAAGAAGAACAAGAGCAATTAAACCTTATTTTCATTAACTTTGAGGCTGGCTACATAAATGCTCATTGTCATATCCTCGTTACCTTGGATGTCGGATCAAACTGTCCACGAACAAAACGGAGTACAATACAGCTTTTCCCAACCCCAGAACTACCTAACACCACAAGCTGCACCAATTGATAGAACAAAATGATTAGTGCACATAAAAAAAATCTCTCTCTCTCTATTTTTATTTTGAGGGTTGCGAAGAATAATAAAGAGAAGGAAAGATTGAAATCCTATGTTTTGATTGGGAAATAAAAATGATCACTCCATGTTGTACAAACAATCTAAGGCACTGGAAAGCATTAAACATAATAAAAGGTGTCAAATAATATCCCACTATAAAGGGCTTTGTCAACATTGTGATTACACCACACAACTTCTGAAGCAAAAATCTTGTATGTTGAGCTCGACATCCAGCCCATCAGGGCCTCGTAAAGGGCTCGGCATATTAAACAGTCACCTTGTGAGCTTGTGCTCATGAGCCCCTAGACATCCATGCTATCCTATAAGTGGATATGATGCAGCATGATTGGGGTAGTACACAACACTGTGCAGAAACTTGCACAATTCACTTCCAGGACATTCCCTTCAATATTGATGTTCATGAGCCTGGTAAGAATCCTTGATATAATGTTTCCAATTAAAGAAAATGATTAGTCAATGGCCTCCTGCTCAAGTACTGCACCCTCCATTGGTCATGCTTACTGTACCATCGATCTCTCTCTCTCTAAATGCACAAACTGGGCTTGTTTCTTTCATCTTTCCATGTGATAATCAGCTCACAAGCAATAGAACAGATAGAGATTTTAAAAACAGCAGTTAAAATAACCTAGTTTATAACTTCCTAATTACATTGAAGGCAAAACATATAACTCTTCAATATGGCGAAGCTCCTTAAGATGCAACTCTAGAAAGAATGACAGTCATATGAAATAAGTTGTCTTAAACCATGACAGCGCACCCTTGACAATAAAAAGATAGCTTCAGGTTAAATGAGAGCTCAACCTCTAAATCCCAAGAAGAAAACTATATACCACTTGCATTTAGAGGCTTCTTTTTACCAATCCTATCACGTTAATTGTCTTTTTCTCTTCGATTTAGACCCCATCTTTTATCCAAATA